TTTTTTTTTTTGAATTCAAACAGTTTATGTGCACGAATACTCATATTAAATCATAGTAGGAAAATTCAGCAGCTTAGGATTCTGTTGGCTAGTTGTACAATTTTGTTCCCACACAATAATAAGCATAGCTACTGAAATTGAGGATATGGTACAGATTCCAGGGGAGCCCACAGCCAACACTGAACATGAAATAAAGATGAAAAAACCAAGTTGTGCATAATTCATTGCAAGAAATTGGGACCAAGTAACATGACAAACTGGAAATTCTTGGATTGGCTAAAACATTGGCTATGAGTAAAGATGAAGACAAATGTCCAAGAATCTGAATGTTGCTCACGAATTTATATTGTAAAGCCAAAAGAGTCTTGAGAATAGAGGAATCAATTAGGAGTGACCTTTTTCTCTGTTTAGCACACTAAAGTCTCTAGGAAAGAACTTTGGAGCAACAGTAAAGTTATTTTCATATGATCTATAAGTTACAGGTTTGAACTGTGAAATCAATCACTGATACTTGAATTAGGGTAGGATGCCTATATCATTCCCTTTGGATGCGACCTTTTTCCAAATCCTACGTGAACACAAGATACTTTGTACACCGGGCTACCTTGTCCAGCACAGTAGAGTCTCTTTTCATCAATGGTGCATTTTATATTTTAAGTCAATGACTACTCCATCTATTATAATTGTGAGAAAGAAGTAAACATAGCATAAGTAGTATTTTCATAAAATAGAGGTGTCAAACAGGGCAAATTGAGTCCAACTTAGGCGCGGAAAATCGATAAATAGGTCATGATTCAACCTACACAAAGTTTTGTTGGACTTTAAGCCATTACTTTAAGTCATTAGGCTTTAAAGTAGAAGAAGTGTGAATTGGAAATGAGGGAAATAAAATAGAGGGAAAATGAAAATTTGAAGAAGTGAACTTTTGTCTTGCACTTTGTCCCTCATTGGTGAGGGACAATCACATTTGTGTGCTTATATATAGATTCACTTCTTAAAGCTCTTAAAAGGAGTTGAAGAGAATGAACCCTCGCGCCGTCGTCGTCGCTCGCTCGACTTCGGCTTCGGCAAACGATCGATAAGATTATTTTTAGACAAAATTTATTTAATTATTTAATAATTAATTAAATGCCAAATCACTGCTGAAAATACGCCAAAACACTGCTGAAAGTTCAGAGGGCCTCGCTGGCCGCGATTCTACCGCGCAGAGAGGCTCTCTGGCCGCGTATTTTCTGAAAAGGCACCTTTCCAGACACCTCTTCTGATATTTGCCTATAAATTCTGAGGCAAGGCTGCATCTTCGAGATATACGAAAAACACTCCAGAACTTCTTTCTTTCTGAATATACTGCATCCTAATTCGCAGTCTCTCTCTCTCAAATTCGTAAGTGTGATTTTGCTCCGTTCTTTGAATTCGTTGGTATCCTGCAGTTTGTATTGCCACTGTTGCCGGAAGGTTTATTCCGTTTTATCCTGGGAGGATTTAATCCATTACCTTGGCAACGTGTGAGGGAGTTAAAATTCCTTAAGGACGCACAAGAAAAATTGTGGACTCGGAATATTTCTGATTCTTTACTATTTTATACGTTTCTTTATTCTTCTAACAATTTTCTGATTTTTTGTTTTAACACAGTTACGCTCACAAGTTTGCTTGGGTAAAATTGTATTAAGATGATAAAACAACGAGTCATAACTCAATCTATATAACATGATTACTTCCTCTCTATTTTTCTTTTTCTCGTTTTTGAGAAAAAAATATGTGAAAGTTTCTTCTTAGATTTTAAGTTCTCCCAAATTTATATAATTATCAATCTAGCATTTGACCGGCATGTTACACTTTGTACCCGTTCTGATCCAATAGATTGATG